TAAAAACTAGACTTCCATTTTTTCCAAGGTCCAGCACCCAAAACCAGTAGATCCTAACTTCTTAAATGAATTTCAGCCTTTTGCCGATAAAATGGACCAGAAGCGCAAGTTGCCGGTACGTAATATCTTTAATTAACTACCCTCTTTGTCAGTTTGTACTTTTTACTATTTTATTAATAGTGCGGTTTTCGGGTCTATCTTTGGAAAACCGCCTGCTACACGACTATCCCCACATTCGGTTCAGATATTATTCTCGGCTTTCAGGCTGAGTCTATAAAGCTTCGTTCCAATTCATTCGTTTCAAGTTAGTGTCAAAACTAGAATTTCTACCAGAAAGCACATGGGAATGCTGCGACAGCCACGAATGAACCGAACCCCTCCGCTTCTTTGTCATGCAGCAGGTTAATATTGGCAACGGGTGTGCGTTGGCTCTTAGCTAGTACCTGTGCTGTCAGTGTGTTCAATCACTTCTCCTATGCCTATAGACATTTTATGAATATTATGCCGCCCCTCTGCTCTAGCTGATGGATTTCAGCTTAAAAATTAATATGTACTTTTTTGGACTGAGCCTATCAGGCTTCATTCGGAAAGAGGAAATTATTTCATCGAGTTGTAGTTAGATGGTTCAAATTGTGGCTCGATCATCGTCGTCCAGTTTTAAATGTTCAACGTAACATTTTAACGTAAATGACACTGATTTTTTAACACTACTATTCATAGTAGATTTATTTATCTGGTCTCCACGTAGATGTCCTTCTTTCATATTCAGTCATTTTCCATACGCACTAATCACATAAGCTACGGGCTTGTACTTAACCATCATTATCATTGCAAAGTTTTATTGTTATGGTTGCCGCCATGAAAGCTCCACCCGGTAGCATTCCTAGAATGTTAGCACTAAGGCGATTGCGCACCAACGACATCAGGATACTACGTATTGTGGCTAGCCATTACGGCTGTGCTTGACGCTTACGTAAAGCTTATACGGAGAACCAATAAGGAAACAGTCAAGGAAGCGCCATATTAAGATTGAGAATGGAATAGCTGACTGGTTATTTTGAAATTTTGATCAGTTTTGGGGTTAACAGTGACTGACTGAGGACAGCTGTCAGTCTGTTTTGGCCTCATGGTTGACGACCAGAGAGAGAGATACGCTTTATTTTGAAAATCTCATTCCAAAACTTTTAGCAAAAACATCCTTCAAAATGTACAAAATTAGGCGCACAAACTCAAAACACCGAGGAATCAGAAGTAATCCATAATCGCCAATGACTGCAATTTTTGACATCGTGAATAAATATCCTTAGAATATTCATCAAATATAGGCCAAATTGGACTGCCTTCAAGACGGCTCTAGTGTCGTCACCTCGTACACGTGACGTCATTGTAG